TTTCTCTCTCTTTTTTTTTTTCCCTTTAATCAAATTCCTTTTGAGCTTCTCCTTCGTTTGTGTAAGGTCTCATTTATTCTGCAAAGTCACAGCTCTTTGAAGAGCTCTTCTTTGAAGAGAGGGCTTAGTTTTTGAACACTGCAGAAAAAAACCAACAAAATAAACAGACATGCTAGTAGGAAGACGAAATACTGCCCATACCCTCAAACAACACCTTCCTCTCTGACCCATCATCTGTGCTGGCTCAGCCCCAGGTCTCTAAAGCGATTCAGCCATGAGACCCTACTCTTAAAAAGACAAAATGCCTTGCCAATCTGCTCCTGGTACAGAGAATCCAAGCAAAGTCCATGGACTCTATCCCCTAAGCAGGAACCCAGTGCTGCTCTGAAGAGCTTAAAACAGTAAAACGGGCTGATGGTTAAAACAAGCAACCTGACTGGGACACCAGGGCAGGAGGGACAGAACAAAAGTCAGAATACCCAGCCTAGTACCCTATTCACCCAGCCCACTGCTTCTCTTCCATGCAGGGTATGTTAGCAAATACACCACCTGAGCTGACACGGAGAGAGATTAAACATTACATGGCTTAAAACCAAATAGATATGAAAGAGTCAAGAATTAAACCTTCTTTTAAAAGCACATCAAGCACAATGTTGCAAAGAAGTTCTTCTGCGTCAGTGGAGCTGTCTGTGTCCACAGGGCAATGGGGATAAGGTTTAGCCCAATGGCACCTTTTCAGAAGATACACAGTCATTTTAATAAATGCAGCTTCACTGATCACTCAGGTATCACCTATATGTTTAGGAAAGCTCTGGTAACACTTTTGGAACAGCTGCACTCCATTTGCCACTACTCACTCTGTAAGCAGTCAGCATTGAGCAAGTCTTGGCACTTCTCATGGCACTTGACTCCACATTCACCGCAGCGCATTCCCTGCCGTGCAATACCCCACAGCAGCCCCTCGCACTCGTAGCAGTAGGTAGGAGTTGTGGCTGTCCACACTTCAAAGTTGTGTGGGGTTGTACAAGAGATGGGGTAAATTAAGGCTTGCAAGGTCTTCTTATAGACATGAGATTTCTGAAAGGCAAGAGCACACATAAACCAACATCCAGAAAGGTGACTGAACCTATTTTTGCTGGTTAATACATGAGTTTTAAGGGGAAAAGGCGTGAGCAGTGCAATACATCTACACATCTAAGGTAGCCAAATTTATCAAACTTTTACAAACAGCAGCAGAAGACACCCTTCCAAAAATGTTTCTCCAGGCATTTAAAACAGTGGAGGAGATGGAAGAAAAGAATTAAGGTTTGTGGATGAGGGATATCTTGCATAAAGCACGTTTCACACACTGTCCCCCATGGTAGATAGCACAGATGGAAATGGTAAGATTACATTTTTCAGGATCATATTGACACATTAAATGTTATTTTTTACATGTTTGGTTTCTTTAAACAAATTATACAAGAAGCTTTTCATCTATATTTTTAGACATCTGTGAAGCTGGCTCTGCATCCCAGAGAGCCAAATTCCCTTAATTTGCTTACTAAAAGTTAACAGAAGCCAAGCAACCCTCCCACTTACCAGCTCTTCATCTTTGAGAGATGTTCTAGTGGCCATTGCTGAGGTAATTCCGGCTTTCCGGGACTGAACCAGTGACTAAGAAGGAAGAAAGTTTGTTATTCACCACCAGTATTCAGAAATGCACTGGCACTACATGCCCAGATATGTGACCAAGGGGTCACATATCATCCCAAAGCAGCAGTCTAATGCATTCAAGTTGGTTTCTTAAATGGTAGGTCACACCTCAGAAGACTCAAATGCATATTCTGAAAGGTCTCCAAGTTGTTTCCATCTGCCCACAACCAGTCTCACTCTGGTAAATTTTCATTTGTTTCTCTGGTAACAACTGCCAATGAAACCTGGGTTCACATCTCCACTTCTGTGTTCTGGTAGCAATGGTAATTCTGCTATTGCCTAAGGTCGCTACGTGGGACTCACTCTTCTATATCTAACTTTATTCATAGCCAAAAGGAGATTATTTCACCAGTTTTACAACACACACAACACCCCCAAACGTGATGGTGAAAGGGTAACAAATGAACAGGTTAAAGAAAAGAACAGACTGGGTTGGGAGTACGGGTTTGAATGTGCTGGCGTATCACATTCATTGGCCATCACTGAATACAATGAACAGCATTTTCCCCTCAAAACCGCCTCCTTCACATCACACCAACACTAAGTTCTGCAGCCTTGGACAGCACAGGGCTGTGCTTTTGCAGCACCTCACACTGGCATACAAAGGATTTCTTCAGCAAGGCACTCCAGTTAGATGAAGGCAGAGGTGGAAATTAAAGCTAGCAACATCTGCTTTGAAATCAAACCCTACCAGAAACCTCCATTTATGCTCTGATTTATCCTGTTTGAAGACAGACTGAAAAAGTTCATTCCATCAGTGATGGAGCAGGACAGAGTGCTGGATACGCATGTACTGCAATACTGCAGGTTCAAAATAAAAAGCAAAAAAGTAGAGGGAAAGTAAGGTAAAATAATTTTTGTTTCTGGTGAAGACTTGGTGGATAGTCTTTAGCTCCACTTACCATGGCCTGTGGAGAGACAGAATGAAAGCATAGAAAGGAAGTAACACAAGTTAATGCCATTACTGCGAAGATTTAAGATACAAGCAGTTAGTAAGACACATATTAAGCTTCCCATGCATAAGCTGGCAGAGAAAACTGCATGCATCTTTTCACAGGAATTACACAATATGGAAACTTTGGTCTTTCAGCTGTTACAGCATTTCTCCCAAGCATGAAATCGCTACGTGTACTGAACACAGCCAACAGAAAACTGTTTGTCCCGCAGAAGCCTTATTTCACCATATCACACAAGCATATGAAACTTGTCCTCATTACTTGCTTGGTTCTTGTGCTTCCTCAGTGCAGAAGCCTACTGGCAATATTGTGAATTACTTTAAAAATCCAAGCACATATGCTTGTTTATCTATCCTCTGAAATTCCAACCTTCTGGTAGGTTGCCAAACCTCACATGGACTTTATAACTTTCCCCAAAGTATGTAATTTTTAGGAAAACATTTAAAAATAATGCAGGCCTAAAAATTATCAAATATTCTGTGTAGAATAAAAAGGAAAAAGAAAACGAAAAATATCTTAATTCTGCCAAATGAATGAAGCTGTCTACAAAATCGTAGCTCATTCTCACTGATTTTTCCAAGCACAACTCCTAACCCCTTACTGTAAGAATTAATTTAACTAAACAGGAAACCTTCAACTTCTTGAAGTGACAATGAATGTTACCATACACCAAAAAGTAAAGCCACTTGCACTAATGGCTGTGTGACAGAAGAAAAATCTCTTACCAGATCACTGACAAGTGGAATTGGCTTTTTTTTGCGTAGATCAGGCATGCTATCAATGCCATAGAGACCACCTGCAGGCCTGGGAATTCAGAAGGAAAAAAAAAAAAAGATTAAAAATCTCACCAGCAGTGAGAGACAGTAAAGAGATGACCAAAAAACTTCCTTAAAACGTCAGTCTCCTCGCTAATATCATAGTGAATGAGAACAGGAAGAATCAGTTCACTGCAAATGCAACTTAATAATAAACCAAAGGTGTTAACACACTGAAAAAAGGTCATTTTCCCATTCTTAGTTCTGAGGTCTGAGCTAGCTCAGAGTAGGCTGGACACATGCTTGCAGAGCACCCAGTGCTTCAGAGTCACTGCTGCCAGCATGGTGGGTGAAGGCAGCCTTATCCCCACTGCTGCTGTGGGGTACAGAGTTGGCAAAAATACTTACCCAAGAGCAGAACCAGAGCTCCATGGCAGTAATTCACACATGGCTTAGTCTGTGGTAACTGAGCCACATGCCTCTGCTTTCAGAAGTACCTTTTGTTCCTTAGGGAGAACTCAGTTTATCGTTTACTATTGGCATTGAGCGTCATGGCAGGAAAGACTTTGGAAACTTGAAAACATCTTGTCTCCAGTCTTTCTCCATCCCCTTTCTTTCCATTTAATTAATTTAGGGTTGGGGGGGCGGAGGTGAGGAGAGCGATGCTTTACTGGAGGAAGCAAAATCAGCCAGAAGATTGTACTTGAAGTGTAAAGTTAATGCTAAAAACAATTAAGTGTTTATCTTCTTCACATGCAACAATCCAGACATTCCTGCCCAGTGTCAGTAGTTGGGAGGGAGCATGTCAAAGTGGGACGCTGCTACCCGTCATCTGATTCTAGGCTAGAACATACTTAATCCTGGCCCTTGAGGTCTATATAATTATTAGTAAAAACCTCACATCTGAGGAGAAGGGAGATTATTTTTATTTCTATAAAAAGGACCATTCGTGGTGCTCAGCGTTTCAAGCCATGCAGACCTCTACACACAAGAGCTGCCATTTGCTGGTGGAAGTGGCGATGGAGCAAAAGGGCCATTACTCCAGCGACACTCGGAGCCTGCCAAAATACAACACTATAACCTGCTTCCTCCCCAGCGAGACCAGCCTGGATAATTGTATCTGGATCCTGCTGTTCACTGGCAACACCACACAGATGTAAGCCTATGCTTGAAGAAGTTCTGTTCATTCAGCTTAAAGGCCTCCAGTAAATCAACTGCATTATCTGTAAGGCCTTAAGATAATGCTTTATGCTAAAGTTAGAAACTGAGCACGCAGTTCCCTGCTGCTGCGCCTATCATATCCACCCCGAACTGAAGAACAGACCTGCGGTGCGACTCCCTCCCTGCAATGAACACCCAGCCGCCAGTCAAAACCCACAGCCCCTCTCAGCATCTCACTCAACCTCCCCATCTCCACATTGCTCTCATGCCTTGCTAACACTAAGAATATGGTTCCTGAAGCCTTTTTCTTGGCTACAGAGACTGCAAAGGAACCTTCTGCCTCTCTGTCCTCAGCCATTCGTTTTCACCCCATACCATGCTGGCTGACACCTTTTTGCAGTTGCATGATAAACTGGCTGGCACTTTTAACCTGTGTATTTCGCTGATTTGGAACACCAGTCCCAGCTGAAATGCTTTAGAACACCACAACTACAGGAAAGAGGAGTATGGGTCAAACTGTTCTTTCTGCAATAAAAGACACACATGGAGCTACCCTTTAAAACAACCTAGGAAACCAAATTGCCACTACAAATTTGCATGTGCCATGAAAACTGGGAGGCTGGTACGTGACAAGAGGCAACCTGCACCCCTCGGCAAGCACGACATACTCAAATCCCCTTTCAATACAGCCAAAAGTAAAAAAACCATCCAGGAAACAACAAACAATGACTAAACCTACATTATAGCAGCCCATGCTCCAGGACGGACAAGGATGTCACAGCACAGCCTAGCACAAGGCTGTGTCAAAGAGGAAAACAGTCTATTATATACAGAAACATGTCATAGCTCTGTAATGGTAAAATTGACTTTTTCGACAGGGCGTAGGAGGCTGACATGTCCGAGCCACAGCTGAGTTGACAGCTGCTGCTGGCTGAACAAGCCTGGTGGGAAGGTGAGCAGTCACGTGTAACTGCGCAAACTGCGTCGGCTCTGCATGCAGCATGAGTCACATTTGCACCGCAGCACCGTGCACGGCTCTCTGTGCTCCTACACGATGAACACAAACCACCCACAGTCAGCTGCGACAACGAGACCTCACAGCTGGGAATGGAAGACAAACTCGGACATGAGAAAGGTGGAGATTTACAGCAGTTGATTAAAACTATTGGAGTCTTTGGCCAAGAATGAGAAACGTTTTCCAATGCTGGAAATCCTTACAGCGAGGCTACATGGTGTTTTTACTAGAGGCTACCCTCATTTCCAACAGAGAATTCCAGAAAAACTTTTTGCCCAAGTTACACTGCAATAATCCCTTCTGGTTTATTATACAAAAATCTGACTGATATCAAGAAATAAGAAATATCTGCGTAAAGTTTTTATATTGTCAGAACTAAGAACAGTCTTGCTGGGATCAAACATGGAATTTCATCTGCTGCCCTAATGTTACAAACCCTTTCCGATACTAGCAATACTGTTTTGGGGTAAAATAGGTGTCACAGAAACTATCCAGATGATGCCAAGAATTCCAGTATTATTTAAATCACAATACAGCTTTGTGTTAAATCACTTGAATTATGAAAGCATATGCAAAATAGAAAGGGAGAGTCTGTAAGCTGAAAAGATGCAACAAAATGGTCACAAGTAAAAATCCAGAGTCAATGCTCCTGCTAAAAGTCAATGGCACAGCTGGGAATTTACACTTCTTTTCTACATGATTTCCCATGATTTCCCCCCCCCCCAATTCAATTGAAAGGGAACCGTGATACTCTGACATTTCCCAGGAAATAAAAACATTAAAATTGCATGTTTTATAAATTCAAGATGAGCCTAAACAAGTTACTGTGCTCGAGAAACACATCTAGTTACAACCTGGTTTGTTGCAAAATATTTATGATAGACTGAGGTCTATGATAGAACCAGTTGTAAGCCAGACTGACAGAGAGAACAAGACTATTTGAAAGGTGCTTGTACTCGCCACTGAAGAGAGGTATCCTAGTACCTAGATAGTTATACACCCAGATGACCTGCTTTTAAGCTTGTTGATATTTAAAAAAAAAAAAAGAATTTTCAGAAACAATTCTTAATTTTCAAAATTATTCAGCTTGTTGTGCTTTCAGCTACCTCAGCCTTCTTATTCAAGCACCATCTCTACTTCACTTAACAAAGTTACAGTGTTTGCACAGACAGAAATACTGACAGTGCCTCAAATATGCACACTGTAGCTTTATATGTAATAGGGTAACTCTCCTCTGCAATGCATGTAATATTTATAGCACTATTATGGAGTGCTGTATTGAGGAGTGAATAGCATTTCTGTATGCGAAAATGATTTGCACTAATAAATAAAATATATAGATATGAGATACTACACCCAGAGACTGATCCATAATACCAATTGTACTTTTTTTTGAAGCTATCTCTCCAAAGCCAGTGATTACAGACAGGGAGCTACTGTTGCATTATGCTAAAAGTGCAAATAGCTTGAAGCATGTATTCATCTTTTAATACAAGTTTTGTCACTCAGATGCTTCCATTAAATCTTGAAAATTTAAGCAAGCAAAGATGGTTTGCAATGACAGAAGATGGTTACTTCCTTCAAACAACACCACTACTCTAATCTTCATATGAAAGAAGAACTCCAAACATAAGTGCTTTACTATACTTTGTGGCTAATAAGCCACAACGTGGCTAACAGTGGAATTAAAGGGTCACCACTCACAACCACCTTTTCTGGAAATCCCTTGCTTGCGGGGATACAGTGAATAAGCCAAACTTTTGTCAAAACTACATTAGCCAGACTGTTTTGTTATATGTCACATAGAAATGGAAAAACTTACGGACTAGAGCAGACATTGCCTTGAATTGTCAAAACACATTTTTAAGTATTTCAGGACTGTAGCTGTATTCATCTTTCAGGCTAGGAAATCATTTTGTGTGCGTGAACCAATAAACTCAGTACATTGCCTCCTTGTTAAAGCAGGAGAAGGTGCTGTTAAGAGTTAGAATAAATCACTGTCTTCTGCTCCTGCTAATTGCCAGTTCTCCAGCAGCCTGCTCACCGAAGTCAGGGGCTCCTTCGGAAAGTGCGGGGTTGCTAGGCAGCTCCAGGCATCTGCAGGTGTGGAGGATGCTTTGTGGGAATACCAACATCGCAGAACAATGACTCCAAAAGCAGAAAGACGTATAATGAAGCCTCCCATTTAACTCTGCGCTTTATTAGGGAAGCTTCCTTCCGTAGTATGAGAATTAACTTATGCGTGTAGCAAGCCAACCTCTTTCTGAGATTTCAGGGCAAATCTGCTGCTAAGCCAGCTCCTAATGAGCGCACCACCACCAAACCGTATTGCCCTAACCGCGTACAAGGCACATAACCTAGCAGCTTGTTAAACGTGTCACTGTCTTTTTTTTCCAGAGAGGATTCTAGGGAAATTGCCATGCTGGCACCTATTATGCAGAGTGCCATGCTGCAATTACACACAATCAGAATTTGCCTGCTTCATTTGCTGTGAGTAGCACGTTACGGAGAGAACGCACGGCCTCTCACTCTCGCCTGTGCAAAAGAGGCATGATAATCACTGCTTTAAAAATGACAAACTGCAATGATTTCCAGAGTTACTGCAGTTTTGGCTACTACAATGACCATAGAAATCATTGCAAAGACAGAAGACTTCCCCAAAGCTACTTTTTTTTTTCTAAGAGCAAAAGACACAGCAATCTTTCCGAGCTACTCCTTCCCTTCTCTGGTGCCATCAGTGACTGATTCAGGAAAAAGGATTTCATCCACGCCACTCTGTGGTGCTCAGTAAAGATTATTTAATACTGCTGCCAGAAGCACTTGCCGCCATCACAATACAGATTATACACTGCGACTATAACCTTGTTCTTAACCACAGATCTCTCAAAGAGCTGCACAGCCCACCTCCAGCTGTTTAAGAGGAAACTCTAAAAATTAGCCTGGCCCTAAGTGAGGCACAGCCACTTGATTATTCCTGACAACAGCCATTAAAAACATCAGAAGTGCACACCGTAATTATAACACAGGGAAACAAGGTCTCAAAACATCACTTACCCTCCTTTGAGCCAGGGTGGTTTTGATGGATCAGCCTCATCTTGACCCTTAAATGGGAGAAGGGAAAAGAACAGTATGAAATTAGTTTCCGAAACACCAGAAAAAGTATTCAGATTACATTCCAAGGAAAGGATAACAGACCACGCTGCATGCAGGCAATTGCATACAGAAACTTATTCAAGCACCTCCAATGACCAACGTGTCAGGACAAGTCATACGGACACAGACAGGCTATGCAATTTCATTGAACACTGAGAGCCAGGACCAGAAGAGCCTGTTCAGTGCACCTCCTCTTTCAAAAGGCAGTCTGGAAGACCAACTCATTTTTTTTTCCAACCCAACAAAAGCATGAGTTATTGGAGAGCTCCTGTTACTACAGGTCACCACTTATATCAACATGGTCATAATGAGGATGCTAAAAATTAAAAGCACCTGTATGAAACGCACAAATGAGTGATCAACATGAACCTTTGTACAAACACTTGTGAGCTTTGTTCATGCTCAAATGCAAAGACTCTCTAGCCCCCTAAGCAGGGAGGTCCCATTGCAGCTCCACCCATTCATATGCAAGTATTTAATTTCCAACAGGTGTCAATCAAGGGCCATCACCTGCAAGATGATTGCAGGTGAACTGGGATCTCACAGTATGATGGAAAACACCACAGACTGCACTATGAGGATTCATATTCATGAATTAAAGCCATGTTCTTATGTTCGTATTAGGAGTGTATTTATAGAGCAATGTTTTGTTTCTTTGAAAATCTTCAGTGGACTGATTAGTGCTGAGGAGTGTTTAAACACTTGCAATGTACCTAGCGGAAACAGAAAAGTTGTTAGATAAGGGGAAAATGGTTTACCTATAACTGGAAACCTCTTTGTTCCAGCTTACAGTTCATACATTCTCCTGCACTCCTTGAAAGCAAAGCTGGTTTCAAACATGAGTAAGCAAGACACACTGCTAGTAGCTAACACTCCAACCTCAGATAATCACGTCTGCCAAGAGTATAAAGAGGCTGTAACTTGCACACAGTGGAAAACAAAGTGTTTCCAGCCATGGGACACGCAACCTGAGAATCACCACAAAGTAAAGGAGTATCTGTCAGGAAATAAGCTCCAGTTTTACGCAAGATAAAAGAACACAGCCCCAAAAGAAAGATTCTTTTTTTGTCTTGTGCTTTGGATGAGCTGTGCAACCTCGGGTTGTTCACAGGTGACAGACAAGGTCTCCCAAGAAGATCGGAAATCATCAAGGAAAACAGGTTTCTATTTGAGGTCTCAACTAGTACAGCAGCAAAAGTCCACACTCCTACAACTCCAGGGCTACGCAGATCTGAAGACTACATAATTTTTATTATTTTATTTTTAAACAGGCACGAAGAACATGACATTATCCATAATTGAATGGACACTCCAGCTTTTCTGCGTGATCACACAGGCCAGCAGAACAGGCAGGAGCTCAGACCCACGGTCCAGCACAGGTGCACATTTTCCCCACAGCCGGAGCAGCACACCAGGCTCCAGGCTCCTGCAGGAAGGATCGTGCTCTACACATCTCTGCTCCAAGTTGGGCTTCCAGAATCCCTCAGCCTGAAACCTGCACTTCCTCCGGAGGGATCTGAATCAACTGCTGGTCAAGAGAGATTTCATGAAGCAAATGCAACCAGATCTGTCAGAGCACACAAGGCAGGACATCCCTACCCTTGCCTTTGAACACTTGGAAGAGCTGTGGCTAGAAAGCAATCCTAAAATGGAACAACGTTTTATACTGGACCGAGCTTGGACACTGGTTGGTTCAGCTGTACTGAGCGACAGAGAATGACAAACACAAACGTGGCAACACTTACTGGCAAAAGGAATTAGTGTAACAGGGTTTTCAATCAGTTTAGCTAAGAAACTCTAAATATAAGCCAATATTTGAGACATTAACGGACCACAAATAGCATGGGCAATACTGCAGCCTGGAGACCACAAGAGCATCAAGAACTCTGTTCAGGGGAAAAAGATCCAGGGAAAGCTGTTATCTAACTGAGCAATAACCATTTCCTACAGGCAACCACAGGTCAAGAGAACGGCCAGGAGTGTGGATGCAGGAAAGGGCAGAAAGCATGATCAGGAAACAAATCTCCATCATCTCCCAGATTTTGAGACATGTCAAGCCAAAATTGCCGAGAGTCCAGATAAACTGTACTTCTGCTTCAATTACTTTTGCCAAGCCTTTTAGCCATGCAAATATACAGAAAACAAGAGAAGAGAAAGAGCTCCTCTAGGGTTGAGATTAAAAATCGTCTTGGTATAACACCACAAAAAAGAAGAAAGAGCTTTCAGTAAGTGACAACATTGATGCAGGGGCAAGGCAGGTGATGGCTGTGTGGAAACAGGAGTTATTCACCTGCTGAAAGCAAAGTAAAGAGGTCATTTGCTCCAGGCAGCATTCTCCATGAGAAAATGCTGAGAGAACCAGCAGCTGACATCACATCCATCAAACGAGGGCTGATGCCCTAAGACTGTAGAAGAGCCAATGCAGTACCCACAATTAAGGTGTGCAAGGGAAGGAGGGAAATGTGATCTAGACTAGCATAGGCTCATTGTTAGCTTCAACAGCTTGAAAGGCTTCAGAGCAAGCATAAAGGGAAGAATTTGCATGGAGGCAATCAGAAAACAGGAAAAAATATAATACAGGGCACACCAGTTTTGAAAACATTTTTTTTGTCGTTTGACAAAGCAACCATTTTTCTTTAGACCGTAAAAAGAATTATCAACTGAATTTTTATTTCAACAAAAAACTTTTGATGCAATGCCATATGACATTAATAAGGCCGGATAAGCTGAGAAGGAGTAGGGAGCAGGGAGCTTTAAGGCGGGTAAACAAGTAACTGTCACCGAGCCAGCCATGGACAACACAATAAGGAAGCTAGTGGGAGTAAGTAGGATCTGCTGATAAAATCTGCCAATGACAAACACTGGAGAATTATTGATACAGAACTCAGATGCCCAATGGAAAGAACTGACGGCAGTGAAGATTGCCACAACAGAGGATTAAACATGGTACAAACGGCAAGGCCAGAGCCCCAGAGCCTGCTGTGAATTTGACTGCATACAAGGCATTCCTCGGTGGAGAAAAGCACGTGACAATGGACTTGAATTCCAGTCATCACCCTGGCCGTGAGCCACTATGATGCAGCCATGTAAGGAGACAACATCATCCATAGAGTATGTCCAGTGAAATGTCTCCATAGAAATAAAAGCATAAATACCACTGTACTGTGCTGGCAAGACTCCTTCAGAAAGGCATATACAATCTTTTTATTCTATACCAAAGTAAAAAGAATTCACACAGGAAAATGGCAAAAGCAGCATGAGGATGCAAACACAATACTATAGGAGGAGAACGGGACAGCTTGCCTACAGTACCAAAAAGAACCTTTTTCTGTGCTTATTCAACAGACAGGAGAACATACTGCATGGAAGAAGAACTGCGGCTAAATATAAATGGAGGATGAAAATTAGAAGGTGTCTAACCATGACAGTTCTGTAGTAGCCTTTCAAAAGGAGAAGCAGACACCAAACCTAACCAGTTTTAAAGAAGGAAATTGAGCAGTTTATATATGAGGTAATGGCACAATATCACACAGTGGCAGAGGGCTGGCAGTCACCAAGAAGTCCTCTGCAGTCCCTTGTTGCACTGACATATGTAGTCGAAGAACCAGAGGTTGCATTACCTACAAGTGTTGGCATGAGGGTTAACAGGGTCCAGACACCTCTGGGGGTGCCAGTCAAACAAAGTAATCCACAGTTTACACCACTGTTGTGGGTAGGAACACCTCATATATTCCTCTCCATTTAAAGAAGGCAAAGGGCAATGCTGTTTAGATGGATTTGCTGCAGCTGGGGAGCTTCCCACCCTCTGAAAGGCAGCACTTGCACCAGGGCACAGGAGGGCTCCAGTAGCTGCTCTGGATCTTGTCACCAGCCATGGATCTGCTCGAGTTCAGCCCATGAAGACAACCTGGCTTGCTTAGAGCCTGGGCAAGCAGAAGAAATGATAGGCAGATGACAAGAACACTGGAACAACTGTGAGAGTTTTTAGCACTGTCCTTCCTGAAACAAATGGGAGGGCAAAGGAAAAGTAGATACATTTAACACCCAAACATGCACATGCTGCATGTCACAAAGTCTTTTGCTGGCTTATGCTTCACTTCTCTGCAAAGCTCTGTCACTTGATCTCTTCTTGAAAGCCACCAGACCGTCTGAATCTGAAATATTTTTTTTTTTTTTAAATTTCCAGCAAGCACATAAAGCAGCACCGAAAAGATGGAGAAGCAAACATGTGAACAAAACAGCCCATCACATCTCCATTCAATTTTTTTTATTTCTGATGCTGATGGATTCTGATGCTGATTCTGTGCTGATGACAGTTTTACACGTACTGTCCAACAAATACCTTCGGCCAGGGAAGTGCTTGTCACCCCTAGTAATGTGGTATATTCACTCACTGTAAAGCACGCTGCAATCAGTTGCTGAAAGGTCTTTTCCAAGTAATGAAAGTTTCTTATTAACCAAGAACCAGATAGTAAAATAATGTCAGTGACAGAGTAGCATAAATTTAATACCCTGGATTAAACAAGCCAACAGACATGATCATTTAAGGTACAGTATTTAGTCATAGGGAAGGCAATGCTTAGAGAAGCCTAAAAAGGAAACTAATACGAGTTTTGCTTATTCAGGAAAAGCAGCAGCTAGGCTTACAAATAATTTGAGAAGCTATTTAACCAAGCTGCAGTTTCTAAATTTTGCAATTTCTCTCACACACAAGATGATGTTTCAACGGACAGAACAAACAATTACGTACTTCTGTAGAAGAGAAAGTCCATAAAATGGCCAGAGAGGCATTAAAAAAATAAATAAATCACCAAGTCTGGAGCCACACAAGGAAAAGGAAGAACATCCCCAGATCTGTTAGCCGTCTCCATATAAATCCATCTCTCCACATAAAAGGCTTTTTAACAATGTAACTTTCCATCACATTTAAGTACTGTGTCCAGCACAT